TTTTTCCATTGGCTCTTATACATCTAAAAGTTGGGCAATGAAAAAGGATGGCAGAAGAAGCATCAATGGCTCTGATTTGTGGTATCTGAAAAGAGGGCTGTGTATCCTACGGACTGCCAAAAGAACAAATAAGTCAGCCTTGGAAGACGTGCAACCAGGGTGTTCCCTAGAGGCAAGGATATGCCTCATACACTTTGGGCATATTGTCAAGGGTGACTAGTCCTTGGAAAAAGACATCATTCTGGGAAAGGTGGAAGGTCAGAGAAAACGATTAACATGATGACTCTAAGAATAGGCTTGAGCATCTCAGAGACGGTGAGGATGGTGCAGGACAGAGCTGGTTCATATCTGTTGCCTTCAGAGTTACAGTTGACTTTATAGTTAGCACCTAACAACAAAAATGGACCTCTGGTGGCCTAGTGGCAAGAAGCTGTGCTGCATTCCCAAATGCATGCTGTTCGAGGCCACCAGCTGCTCCACAGGAGAAGGATAGGCAATCTCCTCCTGTGAGATTAACTGCCTCTGAAAACCTGGTGAGCGTCAGCTGGTGGGTCTTTCTGACTCTATGGTACACAACACACATCAATAAAAATATAAAGAACTTCCTCGGTAATATCATTTTTCATTTTATGCAATAAAAACACTTTTCTAAGAATGAAACCATGGACTTCACCAGACTATCAAAAGGGCTTCTGGAATGAAAAGATGTTTAGAAGATTTCTTTCACATCAAATATGAGCTGTGAATACACTGGGGTGGGATTTGGGAAGTCAAGGTTCAGTCTTTCCTCTCTGACTGGGTTGATGTTCTGACAAGACCTTGGATATTCTGAGTCATTGATGTCTTTTCCTTTGCTTACAGACTCTGCTCTTCTGTAGGAAGAATATTTTGAGCAGAGGGTCCCTCCAGCTACACAGCCTGTCACATAACAGATGGACACCTGCATCTGAGATACTGGACATGTCAGCCCTGGGAAGTAGCCAGCTGGCATGCCACCCAGGATAAAACCACTTGAGGATGGATAAGGTTAAGCTGGAGTTCCTGGATGATGTAAATAGTTAATATATTTGTTTTCTAACTGTGGTATTAGACTAAAAGTTGGCTATTTTAAAAAAAATTTTTTTAGCCATTTAACCTATGATCTCCAGCTATCTTAACTGCAGACACATGGACTTGCAAATCATCATCAGCTGTGAGACTAGGATAAGAGAAAGACTGCTTCCCATACTGGGCAGCAAGACTTGAGGTGACTAAGCCTTGAGACAAGCAATATTTGTGGTGGCAAGACCCTGTTGAAAACAAGACCCTGGTGGTGGAGACAGTGGCATTGCTAAGGAGAAACTGAGACTTCTTACAATGTGTGCTGGACACAATTAAAGGTTTGGGTGTTCTTGATGGAAGTTTGAAGGAGAAGCTAACTTAATAACTTCTCTGAGGCAAACCTTGCCAGATGATTTGGATTTGACTGCTGAACTGAAATTGGAGCCTGGACTTATTGAGAAATTGTGCCTTGGGACTGCTTGGCTAGGATTTGCATTGTGAGATATTCTTTCCTCATTCACTCACTTCCCCCCAAACCCCCATTGTTAGTGCCATAACTGTGAGTCTGAGAATCAACAACAAATGAAAGAACCTCTTGCTATATTGGTGGGGCTCTACAGGCACCAGGGGGCTGGGCTACAGACCCTTTAGCCACTTTCTGCTTTGAGGTGGTGAGGGGCTGTGCTATTCTCATTCTGTCTGGCTCTTTTGGAGAGATGCTCACAGCCATGACCCATTTCAGACACTAATCAAAAAGTTGGCAGTTCAAGTTCACCCAGAAGTGCTGGGGAAGAAAGGCTTGGTCTACTTCTGAATAAAAAAAAATAATTAAAAATTAGTCATTGAAAACCCCATGGAACATAGTTCTTCTCTGACACACACGAAGTCGTTATGAGTTGGATTTTGGTTGAATTATTCTCTATAGACATTCTGGAGGAGGGCGGGCTGGCAAATGTATCTGCACGTGGCTGAGTTGTCCCAGGTCCTCCTGTTCAACTGTAACTGCACTCACGGTGACTGTGGTGGCAACCATGGCAGGATAGTAGACTTGATATTAGCATTACAGGTAAGTCATTCACTCACACTACCTTCTCCGGTGGCTGAGTGGTAAAGAATTGTGCTGCCAACTCAAAGGCACACAGTTCGAGTTCACCAGCTGCTCTGTGCAAGAAGTGGGGGGCAATCTCCCTCCATGTGATTTACTTCCTCTGAAAACCCGTTGGAGGGTCAACTGTCAGTGGTCGCCAGTTCCTGCTTGACAGAATATACCAACACCACCACAGTTGCTATTAACAGCAGATAACTGAGATCAGTGACAGATAGTCTTTTCAGAGCCCTAACTTCGTGCCTTCTGAGGGGTCTTAATGAACTGAAATGATGGGTTAGAAGACCGGACAAAGGAAGCCTTGTGCTGGAAAAACCCAGCTGAATGTGCACATAGTCCTGAATAACATGTAGCACTGAGCACGGCCAGCAGATGTCGCCAGTGCACCAGGCCACTCCTAGGTTTACAGGGACTTGCTTCTCCCGTCAGTATGGTCAAGCTGGGGAGGTCTGGTGGTTTGTTGTTAGGTGCTCTGAGTCCTGAAGGACTTATAGCGACCTTCCTCTCCTTCACAGACCCTCCACCTTTCCAAGCATGGGGTATCTTTCTGAGGAATAGCCTTGTCCAGCTACATATCCAAAATATGAAAGATGAAGTTTCTCCATCATTGCCTCCAAGGAGCACTCTGGCTGCACTTTCTCCAAGATTTATCTGCTTGTTATTTTGGCAGCCTACGAGATGTCCAGTACTCCAACACCACAACTCCAAGGCATCAATTCGTGGTAAGGAAAACCCACTGAAGGGACAGCTAGAGTCTGTTCTGACTCGAAGGCACAAAACAACATGGTCAAGCTGCAAAAAGGCTTCCTTGTCTTCCCTCACTCTTCTCTATCTTGAACTCTCTTCTAATAAGGGTACAAGGGAGCTCTGGTGACCTAGTGTCAAGATACTGTGCTGCAATCCCAAAAGCATGTGGTTCAAGGCCACCAGCTGCTCTGTGGGAGAAGGATGGACAATCTCCTCCTGTGTAATTAAACTGCCTCTGAAAACCTGCCAGAGGGTCAGCTATGGGTCGGTTCCAACTCTGTGGTACACAACAACAACAACAAGGGTTCAATAGCCTCTCAGTAAATGGCAGGACAAGGACCAGGGGTAGTACAATTTCCAGGTTGGTTAATCCAGGTAAAAATTCATTGACTGTGATAAAATCACCTTGATCCTAAAATGCCACATGCAATGGAACACGTGGTAAATAGCCACATGGACTTCCACACTACTGACTGATAGTGGCAGGACACCTCTTCCCTTCCCCCTGGTAATTGAGGATCAAGATACTAGTTAACACAATGTTGCAAGTAAGTGAAAACATTTACCAGCCCACCCTCTGGTCAATGAAACGATGACACACATGCATGTAACCTTCCTGTCTTATAAACATCAGTGACTTTTTCTGGGACAAAGTGAAGCACTCCATTTCCCAGTCAGAGTTAACTGTGATGGGCGTTCCTGAGTGTCTTCAGAAGAAAGGTAGATCAGGGCGTGGATAAAGAAGCAGAGAGAAGGAGTACAATGGCAGTAGGCCAAGACCACAGAAGAAAGGACAAAAAAAGAAAAAAAAATGACAAAATAAAGTACCTTTTTAAAAGACAGGTAAATAAAAGAATAAGAATGAAAAAAACAAGAGGTGGAGTGTACTGGGGGGGGTGGGCAGGGATTGTATACCAATGAAGGAATTTTTCTTTTACTTTTCAGCAAGAGGAGTGAACTGGGCGGGGAGGGGTGGGCATGGGGGGAAATGCAACAATGAGTGAATGGAAATCCAAAATTTCTGTAAATGTTCATTAAAATTAATTTTCAAAGATATTTTTAAAAAAGCAAACAAACAAAAGCAACAGGTAAAGTTTGGATCTGCATACCCTGGAGTAGGTCCCCCACTGTCCAGGTTGAAAACTTGTTTGGGATTGAGCAGATAGTGGAATTTCCGAAGAATTCTATGGGGAGAAAAGAAAGGGCAAGAAAGAGACAGAAGAATATCATCATGAGAAATCACAAGCAAACAGCTGAGGGCACTCCACTGTGGGAACACCAACAGGAGAGGGCAGAAGACCCCAAAATTCCAGGTTCACCCGGCACCTCCCGTGTCCTCATTCTCTGGGTCAAGCTCACCCCACCATCCTGGACTGAACCCTCAAACCACAGGAGCATCATCCTATACTGAAAGGACAGGGCAGAGAAACTGAGAGAACAGAGCTTCCGTTCTTTTAAATCTTTTCCCTCTACAGAAGCCTGCCAAGCGTTCCTGACATGGAAGTAGCACAATTCTGCGCTTCGTGATTGTACAAGGGCATCACGGGAGCCCTAGGGAAAGGCCCTTCCCCATACACTAGTGGGGCAGGGCTTGTTTTGAGGTGCAGCAGGAGGGGAGGGCTAGGACAGTGGCCACAGGTAAATTTGATTTCAAGGCTCCACCCTGATCTTAATCTTGTCAGTTCCAAAGGGTGTCCTGCCACCTGGCGTAGGGCTTGGGTTAGTTCTTGCTTTAACCTTATTCTTTTTAAACTTAGATTCCAGATCACTGTTATCTGTCTAGGTCAAGGGGGCAAAAACCACTATGCCATATTCTCCTCTCCGCTCTCACTCTGTGTAAGAGCCTCCAGCCATCAGTCGACTGGGTATATCTTTCACTGATGCTCAAAGTTCTCCCATGAACTCATGAGGAGGGAAAGGCTGGAGGGTCCCAATCTGGTGAGTCCCTCCTCATCTCTAAAAACAAGACAAGACTTGGGAGGCAGAGAAGGAAACAGTCATCTCAGACTGGGTCTGACCCAGGAAGTTGTAGTGATGGCGTTTGTGACAGGTGCTAGCTGAAGCCCTGTGACTATTATGAACCTTCACAATGACCCTAAGAGAAGGAGGTTATATTCCTATTTTACAGAGGAGGAAGCTGAGGCACAAAGAGGTTAAGTTACATGGACCAGGTAAGCGATAAGTACAGAGCTGGGATTTGAACTGAGGTCTCACTGACTTCACAATCCTGACTGAGGAGAGAAAAGGGCCCACATGTGGCTGTTTTTGCCTCTCCACCTTGAACAAGAAGACAACATACCTTTCTCCTTGTCTCCCTCCACTCTTGGGATTCACCAAGACCAGCAGAGGATGAGTACCCGGGGTGGGAATGATCTTATACTTAAAAAGTAAAAAAAGAAAAAGAAATTAGGAATGGAGGAGCTCTGGTGGCCTAATGGTAAGAGGCTGTACTGCAATCACAAAGGTATGTGGTTCAGATCCCCCAACTGATCTGCGGGAGAAGGATGGGCCGTCTCTTTTCTCTTCCTGTGTCATTGACTGCCCCTGAAAACCTGCTGGAGGGTCAGTTCTGACTGGGTGGTAAACAGCAGCAGCAGCAACAACATCATTTTCCTCCAGAACTCTGTTTGCACATTTCTCACTTTCCTCAACTGAATGTCCCACCATTAGTTATAATGTCCACACATAACCAAACTAACCTATCTTCTTTTCCCATGAAACTGGCCTTCTCTCTGAGTTTCCTATTTCTGTGAAAGGTCTTCATCCAAGTACCCAGGGATGCTCTATGACCAGTTCTTCCCCCATCATGCCCTTTTATCTCAGTGGCCCTTCTCTACACCTCCACAGTCCCCACACTGCCCAGGCCTTTCTCACTCCAGGTCAGCCCTGTATGTATCCCAAGCAGCTCCTTCCCACGACACCAAGCCAATCAATGTCACATGTGCTCAGAAACCTTTAACATCACTTTGTCGTCCAGAAGATAAAATCCAACTCTCCTACCTACCATTCAAGGTCCTTCCAGTCCCCTGTTTCATTCTATCCTCAACTCTTGAGGGCTTATTTGGAGGGCCTGGCAGGGCAGCACAGCTGCTCATATACCCTTAACTGTAGAGTGGTCTCCACTACCTGAGGAGGCAACCCTCTTCAACGGAGTGCAAAGCTTCTGGGGAAACACACATGGAGTAGCGAGGGAGGGAAGGAGCACCTGCCTATCCAGTCAGGTCAGCTGAACCTAGCCTGGTGATCAGTGGGGTGGCAGATGTCCAGGTTGCCCTCACACCACCTATCATTATCTCTTAATTACTCCTGATGTTTGGGCCACAGTTCTAGCCAAGCTGTGCCCTTCTGTCCGAGAGCCTGCCGCTGGCATTTCCCCTCCAGGGCTCTGCTCCTCCTATCTCCTGCTCAGTTACTGGAAACATTCAAGTGCTTCGTTACAGCCTCCTCAAAACCTCCTCCTTCTCCCTCTTCCTCTGTAAAGTTTCTCCTTGATCAAGACAAGTAAAACTCCTGAACTTGAAACTTGGTCTAGCCTCTGGTTTTGTTGGTTGTGTTTATATTGTTATTTGTTTTCTTTCGTAAATGTCTGAAAACATCCACTGGATTCTGAATGCCTTAAATGGAAAGGAGTATGTGATTCTCCTACAAGGACCCCAACCTCCACCTTCACAGCACTCAGTGGAAGAATAAGAGCTTAGTATTGGTGGCTTTGGCTGGAGTCACCGACAGAGACGCAGGCCTGCTCTGTGTTCGGTGCTTAATGCTCTGTCCGGTCTCAGAGCTAAGGTACAACAAACATGGTACCACCTTGGAAAACAACAGCCACAATCTTTATGCTTTACTAAGAATTCTCTTTTATTTATCCAAATTGTACCCAGAAGAATGATTTTTAAAATATTTAGCAATCTATATAGCATGAGTTTTGCCCAATCAAAACCGCTATCAAGTCAACCATTTCAATGATATCTGTGAACAGCTGGTATGCGTACTCTGGTGTGATTATCCGAGTTTCTGTCATAGGTGTCTAGAGCTTTCCTGCTTCATGGCATATTAACCTTCTTAACAAGCACCTCTGTGAAAAGAACATCACAGGAGTGGTTATGCCCCTTTTTAACAAGGAAACAAGGATCAGAGGTAAAAGCGAAGGACACTGGAGTTTACTATTTCCTTTCCTAGAACTCTTTATATCCTTCACCAGCCAGTCTTTCCTGTATCCACTGAAACTTTCTAAAAAGTACAAAGGAAAGAAGTTTCTTGGTGAACTCAAGTTTAAAAGAAAACACAAATCCAAACTAAAAAACGGAGTCAATGGTTTTAAATATACATTTAAGGATTAAGATGGCCTCTGGGTCTGGTTAGCTTCAATTTGGCAGGTCATGTTCTGGAAACAGCTTGGCCGGCTAGGAAAACCATGGTCTATTTTTAGGCCACACATTTGTTATTATTTAAAAGGTTTACAAACTGAAGTTTTATGGAACTTGTTCCTAAAGAAGGTAAAACAGCCAGTTAGGCAGCAATGGAGTCAACCAATGGTCTTATCATCATTTGCCTACAATGTGGTGGCCAAAGGTAATTCCAGAGGCTGGCAATTAAGTGTCCTCTGGTGTGGTACAACTGGTCAGATTAGAAAGCAAATATTCCAGAATCTGAGCCTTGCCTGCCTGATACAACGCAGATCAATGTGTAACGTGCAATTCAGATTTGAGGCTTGAGGCGGTACCTGCATTACAATGTCGCCTTTGGCTGACTCACTGCCATCAGATGTCCCGCCTTGCCTGTCCTGTGAGAAGAGAAAAGCATCTTTGGAAAACCATGTTGCTACCATTAAAGCGAGAGATCGGAAATGAAAACAGAAGGCCAGTGCAGATAGGTAATCTCCTCTGATGCTAGTGATTGCCTCTGAAAACCCACTAGAGGGTCAGTTCTGACTAATGGGCCTACAACAACAACAACAACAACAGTGTGTGGAGGAACTTTTCCAAGTGAGGATTCTGGAATGGGAAAAAGGAATGCTTCCCTGTGAGTCCAGGATTTTCCAGAGCTCTGTCACTACTTGCTCTTGCTTTAGCTTTGGGACATTGGTAGGAGGTATGGTGGTGTGGGTGCAGAAACTCCAAGTGGCAGAAGTTTATGTTGTTGACTTAGAAATTGAGCTTGGACAAGTAAGGTCTCAGATTTAACTTCTTTTCCCTGCACTGAAATGTGACATTGAGCAAGTAATTTTGTTTTGTTTCCTTCTCTCCCGAAAGCTTACTATTCATTTACGAAGGTTCATGTCATAATACAGCAACATAATCAACTCTCAAGTGTACAGCTAGATGCACAGACATATACCCTTGTAACCAATATCCCATCTGACTCTGGATACTACAGAGATGCTGTCTGCTCTTTGAATCTCATGTAAATAGAACTTTTCTTTTTGTGTAACTTCCTTTTCATGTTTTCGCATATAACACAGTTTGTTCCTTCTCATTGTAACACATTATCCTGTTATGTGAATACACCTCCATTAATAAATTGGTTCATTTCTGGGTAAATGGGCATTCTCCCCCCTTGCTTTTGACTATTATGAATAAAGCTGCTATGAAAAACATTTGTAATGTCTTCTGGTAGACCGCCTTCTCATCTCTCTCAGGTATACACACAACAGGGGGAACTGTCGGGTCAGAGAGTTTGTGTATTTTCAACTTCATAAATACTCTGAATGGTTTACTGATGTGGTATTTTTCCTCAGAGATTTTGTGAAGGAACATCTGGTCTGGTCAATGGTCAGATGTGAGGAATAATTGGGCCTGACCAGTGGCCTTCAGATGGAGGAGAGAAAATTTCCAGTGGATGGTGCTTGGTTTGGCAAGTGCGATAGTCAATGCAAGAGGCAGAGAAAGTTTTAAGCAGAAGTGGAAAACAAAATTAATTACATTATGTTTTAATTTTTAAATGGGGTGGAAATACCCAAGCAAAAATCTTTAAGGCAGAAAGAAATCCAAGACTGAGCAGAACACAGTGGGGGACCAGGGTTAAGGGGACTGGGTGGCCTGTGCATGTGTGACGAAGTTCCCTTGATGTGAGCATTATTTACAAGGAAAGCCGTGCGTTTTCCTCTGACAAGCCAGTTGGTGCAACCCTGACCTCTTCAGTGTGCATCAGAAGTGCAAACCCTCAGAGTTGTCTGGGCAAGCCATCTGAGGGAAATGAACGTTGAACACTATCTACACCTGAGGTGTGAACTGGGAGAAGCCAAGGCCTCACTGGAGCCAGGAGCACTTACCCGGGTGACGGGGCATATCGAGGTGGGCAGCAAAATATGATCTCTGAGTTCCCCTCCATCACACAATGTTGACAGTTCACATTTGCGGTGAAACTGTAGGGAAGAGTGAAGACGAGAGGGAGCAGATGTGACGAAGGAAATGACAAGGAGGAGGGTTGAGAGGTTTAATGGAAAGCAACTGTCTAGTGCTCTCCCCAATTCGCATGCACTTCTGGCTTTGGCAACCTGGCCAGGGGTGCTTGTGTGTACAATTGGGGGTGTTCAGTGGTCTGGAGGCAGAGAAAGGAGACCACAGTGTTGCTTGTGGCTGCCAGCCCTTCATTGTAGTATCCCTTGCGGACTTCTGAGGGCACTTTGTGTAACCCCCTCAATTTCTGAGCCTCTCGGAAGATGTGTCCATGAACAGACTTATGGGGGTGGGGGCTGCAAGTAAACCCTATGACTCAAGCGCTGTGTTTTGAGGGTTCTGCAGTGAGGTCGGGAGACACCTCCTTCTAGAGGCTGATGACTGCTCAGAGGGACAGGCACAGGATTTGCCTTGGCAAGCAGGCTGAACAGCTCGATGATGGTTAGGTGTGTTCGTGGTTCCAGGGCACACAGGGCCTCTAGTCCTGACTGGGGCTGGGGCAGCAGGCACTGAGATGTGGACCCTAGTTCTGACCAGGGGGTGGGGGCAGCAGGCACTGAGACATGACCTCTAGTTCTGCCCGGGGCTGGGACAACAGGCACTGAGACATGGACTCTAGTTTTGCCAGGGGCTGGGGACAGCAGGCACTGAGACATGGACCCTAGTGCTGACTGGGGCTGGGGCAGCGAGCACTGAGACGTGAACTCTAGTTCTCACTAGGGGCTGGGGGCAGCGAGCACTGAGACGTGGACTCTAGTTCTGACTGGGGCTGGGGGCAGTGAGCACTGAGACATGGACCTTAGTTCTCACCAGGGACTGGGGCAGTGAGCACTGAGACATGGACCCCAGTTCTGACTGGGGCTGGAGGCAGCGAGCACTGAGACGTGGACTCTAGTTTTGCCCGGGGCTGGAGCAGCAGGCACTGAGATGTGGACCCTAGTTCTGACTGGGGTTGGGGCAGCGAGCACTGAGACGTGGACTCTAGTTCTCACTAGGGGCTAGGGGCAGTGGGCTCTGAGACATGGACCCTAGTTCTGATTGGGGCTGGGGGCAGTAAGCACTGAGAAGTGGACTCTAGTTCTGCCCGGGGCTGGGGCAGCAGGCACTGAGCATAGGTCAAGGTGGTGAAGGTTGTGCCTCTGTGGCAGGTACCCTTCTTCTGATGCCCTGTGGAGAAGGAATCCTCATAATGTCCCCCCCTCACTGTCAGTGCTCTCGCCTTCAGATGGTACCCAGATGAAGGAAGTTCTTCGTCTTGCTTGCTGCTCCCAGCTGCCCATTTACACAGTGGTCTGGCCGTTTCTTCTTAACCGACCCTGTTGGCCTGGTTCTGGGGGTGCTGATCTCTAGGCTGCTTGGCAGTTTGTTGGGGGACACCGCTATGCCCAGGGGATTGGATGGGGGCTATGGGGCCCTTCCCAGCTTGGCTCTCCTTGCTCCACTCATACCCTCTGGCAGGATGCCCACTGCTCCTCTGATGCATCTTGGGCAAACACCACGCTGAAGAGAGCCATGCTGCCCCGGCACCAACCCACCGTCATCCTGCACCACACGCAGTGCCGTGCGCTGACGCTCTGATAGCACTTGATACTTTTGTGGCACCGGTCACACTTGACGGAGGAGTTCCCTTCGACCCACGCGTGCTGCATCACCTGCGGGGAGGGAGGGAAGAATCCAGGGAAGGCCTTGGAAGCAGCCCCTGGGCCCTGGGCCATCCGGGAGGGGTGGGCTGTGTGTGCTGGCTCACTTGGCTGAAATGCAGTGACATGGTCCCTCCCTTCCTAGCTGCCACCGTGCTGATCAAGGAAGATGAGAAACCACTTTGCATGGCCTAGAGTCGCTTGCTCACCCTGGCAGGCAAGCCTGTGAGCAGCAGCATCTTGCCTGTCAGTCCACCTGTCCATCCTGCAGAAGATCTTAGCAGTGATGTGCTTGTGTGCGCCCTCTTCTGGAAGGCAGCGCGGTGCAGGGAAACCCGGAAGGACTGGAAAGAAAACTGCTCTCCCAGTTGGCAGTCTCTAAACCTCTCAGCCTCAGGCCCTTCCAAGGCAGAATTTAGCAAAATAAATCCCATCTCTGCGAGGATCTCCTGGAATGGTCCCTGTCCTCTGGAGGTGCCCACCTTCCCTTCTGCCTTCTGTCTTCTATATGCCCAGGGCTCTCAGCCTGGCCTACCTAGTACATCTATCTGGGGAACATGCAGAAGTCCCTAAGACCAGCTAGCTGAGTGATTATAATGTGCAGGCACCTTTGAGAAGAAGCAGTCTAGAAAGAAGTTAGAAAGTTCAGACGATGTTAATAAGGGCTGGTCCTATGGCCCAGGTAGCCTAAGAACTTGCAGTGTGTGTATATATATATATATCTGTGAGTGTCTGCGGTGTGGCGTTGAGGGGTGTGTGTGTTTGTATGCACGCGTGTGTGTGATATGCGACTGAAGTGACAGCAGCCAATCATGACACCAGTATCTGCGTCCTGGGCTCTCAGCTGCCTCCTCCAGGAATTCTATAGCCCTTCTCACAGATTTCTACAGAACCTCAAACAGAAGAAGAACGTGGATAGAGAGCAGGAGCAGAGCCCGAAGCACACAACTACAACCACAAAAGTAAAAACACATAGAATATCTGCATGACAATATCCATGCCTGTATCAGAGAAAAGGATCTGTTTTACGTTACTTAGCAGCTAAGGTACTTAATGTCCTCTTCCCAAAATAGTTTTGGTGAGAGTTTTGCTCTTGAGGATGGGTCATGTTTTCTTCGGAGCTTCTAACCTTCTACCAAGTGCTTCTGAGCATGCAAAGAACCCCAACAATTCATCATCTACATTGCTCTGGAATAGCTCTAAGTGTGTGTGAGTGTGTGTGAGAGTGTGTGTGTCAGAGAGAGAAAGAGAGAGAGAGAGAGAGACTTCAGAGAGGTTAAATTACTAGCCCAAGGTTATGGGAGTAGTAAGTGCCCAAGCATGGACTTATAGCCAGGTCTTCAGACTCCAGGTGTAGAGTTGCTCCCTGGCACCATGTTGCCTTCTGTATCTACCCTCTCCTGAAGCACTGAGTTGTCCAGCAGGACTAGAAGGTTGTGAGTGTGCCTTGTTGGATTCTGTGTGTGTGGCAGGCAACCAGACTGCAGGCTACTGCCTAAGCCCAGGTTGTGCACTCTTGGTCCTGATGAAAGGCTTGAGCATTCAGGGGATGTGTATGAACATAGTGCAGAAGGAGCAGAGAAGAGGCCGTGCAGTGTCTCATGGCTGTGGGACCTTGAGGTACAATTCTCTCCTGGGAATCATTATTGGAAGGACTGAGGACTACTACCCTCATTTGTAAACCATTTCCTAACTCTGATTCCTAGATGGGATCCTTCTTCTGCAAGAGCTGAGCAGCCTTCTCAGGTAAATACATGAAGAGTCTGTCTGCAGAGAGGCTGGCCCACTGCCTATCCAGAGAGACCCCAAGAGAAAGGCTGAGCAGTGCCAGCAGGCCAGCCTAGGGAATTCCACAGAGCACTGTGTGCCCTGGCACACAGGAGCTCGCCACGAGTCAGAGCTCACCCAACAGCAACCATCTTAAACTCTTCCTCACCGTTAATGGCCAAGTTAGAAACCTGGGTGCTATCTTGACCTCCCCCCTCTCTTGTCCCTTACATTGTAGCCCACAAGTCCTGGAGGTAAGACCTCCAAACGATCTCGTAAACTCTCCCAACATCTCCTATACCTTAGACCACATAATAGCTAAAGCATTCAACAACCACACAGCATAGATCTGCACACGGATGCTACACTGGAGGGCATCGGAGCACAGCAGGTGAATTAGGACCACCTGAGACGGACAGCGCCTCTGAACTGCACATTGTTCTGCCCGAAATGCTGGACGCGTTTCAGCCTCTAATCTGTCTTCTGCACCACTCTCACAGTGATTAACCTAATACACAAGCCCAATCACATCCTTCTATTCTTGTGCTTAAAGCTTTTTGGTGACCCTTTAGCTGTAGAACTCTGTTTGCTCAACACTCCCCCCAGGCTGATGTCACCCCTCTCTGAGAATGACTCCAACCACTTCCCCTTCCCTTTAAGCGTCCCCTGTCTCAGCCACATTAAACCAAGTGGGAAGCTCAGAATAACCACATCCCCATGGTTCCTTCTGCTGTGTATACCCTGTCCTCTGTGTCACCTATGGAGGCCCTTCGGACTGTGGTTCAAACACAACGCTAGGGCTGCTTCCTTTGTCCTCCTGTGCCTCACCTGTGTGACACTCCCCATGGCCTGACTCAGCCCATATCTCATGACTGGACACTTGGCTGACACATCTGTTTTTGCTGGGACACTGCACACTTCTTGTGTAGGCTGAAGATGATCTCTTATGACCCAAGCCCCTCTCCTAGAGAGTGTGGCACACAGTAGCACACACAGCGAGGTGCTGAATGTACCGAAGGATGAACGGGATGGTGTGAGAGTGGTCCCTGAGACAGGGAGGTGACCGGACTGGCTCTCACAGCCCCTTCCAGCCCGGGAGGCTGTGGCAATGGCCATGATGCCCAGGACTCAGCATGCAGTAGAATAAGGCAAGAGATGTCACGAACCTCGCCGCCCCTTTTGGTTTTTGAGTACGTTTTGACACACCCAGGTATATTTTTTGATACACAGCGTTCATGGACAGTGTATTTACAGTCTGAAAAAGAAAAAAAAACAATGATAAGAAGAGCTGGTGTAAATTACTGTCTAAGAACATCGCCTATGCCAATGCCAGCAAGGCCTTCCTTTGACTGGCCACACCAGGGCAGGAGACCTATGGAGCTGGCCTCACCTACGCAGATTCAACATACTTTCTAGTTGTTCTGGGTGGATGAGGTCCACACACATCCTGATACTCCTTTTGTTTCTCCCACCCCAACCCTGCCCTGTGGCCACTCAGTGCATCAGGCAAGACCGCTACAGAAAGACACCTGCCACTTAAAGGAGTGGGAAGTGTCATTTTCCTTGTCATGCCAACTGCATAGCATTTGATGTCAGGGATGTCTGGCCTGATTTCTGGCTCCATTAGTTGTAACTATTCATATCATCTTGGGTGAGCTGCTTCAGCTCTCTGAGCATCAGTCTTCAACTGTAAAGTAGGAATAAAAGTGCTTATTCTGCAAGGAAATTTGCAAGGCTTACTCAAGTAATCTAGGGAGCTCTGGTGACCTAAAGGTAAAGAAGCTGTGCTGCAATCCTGAAGGTACATGGTTTGAATCCACTAGCTGCTCTGCAGAAGGATAAGCAATCTCCTCCTGTGTGATTAACTGCCTTTAAAAACCAGCTAAAGGGTCGGGTATGGGTCAATTCTGACTCAACAGTACACAACAACAACAATGAAGTAATCTAGGGAGCACTGAAGACCTAGTGTTAATAAATTGCACTCTACCTGAAGCCTTGATATTTCTGCAGCTGCCCTACGTTTTTCTCTCCCTGACAAGATAAAAATTTGAAACATTATATTTCTCTACTTTTACCATCAGCACTGCTCATCTTGGTCTCTCTTTGAGGATTTCTCCTGTTTTATTTTTGTCTCTTCCTACACTTTATTACGAGAGTCCTCCAATTCTTATCCTTTAGTGGCCATCAAAATTGCTTGGCCCAAGATCATCCTCAATCTTCTTTCTCCTCAGCCATCCCTTTATCCTAAGACCTACTAGTTCAGTCGAAAATAGGAGCCCTTGCCTTCTCTTTATTCATGCTCTTAGCAAACTGATTCCTGGACCCAATTTATTCTTTCTAGAGTCTTGTCTTCAGTCCTCACCACTATAGTAAAGTGGGTAAATGTGAATGTTGTTGTTGTTGCTAAGTGCCGTCAAGTCATAGGCAACTCATAGTGACCCTATGAACAAAAGTTGCATGACTTTCATCCTATCTCCAAATGTGAATGAGGAGAAAAAAAAATAAGTTGCACTGTAATCTCAAAAGAACACAGTTTGAATCCACCGGCTGCTCTGCGGGAGAAGGATGGGCCATCTCCTCCTGTGCAACTAAACTGCCTCTGAAAATGTGCTGGAGAGTCAGCTATGGGTCAGTTCCAACTTGGAGGGAGGCAACAACAAAGAATTTGTACTAAGTACTGTGAGTCTACAAACAACAGAGCCCCCAGGCTTAGAACCTAACAGGAATGAGAAGGGCGTGTCAAAGAATGGGGTGAGAACTGGATTTGAACAGAAGCAGGAAAAGACTGAAGGGCTTCTTCTGGAGTGGGCTTGGTGGACAGCAAGCCCAGCTCTGTTAAGAAGACTTGTGGCCGAGGTCCTGCTGGCTTGCTCACATGAGCACACTGGGTGGGACACTTTGTTGCCCTGGGCCACACCCAGGGAGCCGCCCTACAGTTTCAGCTCCCCCACTGGGGAGGGGGGAGGGTTCAGGCTGAGTGTCTGGCATCTGCGCAGTGGCCTTTATGACTGTTCCCCATAGGTGAGCCTTGTCAAAACCTCACTGCAGCTCCTCTCCTCCTCCTGCTCCCCAAATCTACTGTCCTTCCTCTGTCCTATGTTCTTCCACAACACCTCTTTCTTTCCCTCTTTGCTCCAGTATCTCTTAATCCTATCTCACTTGTATGTGTGCATGTGTATGTTATCTTCCTCTCCCCTTGGACTCTCCGAAATGGACTTTAAAAAAAATTAAAAAAAAAAAATATATATATAGCTTTAATTTTCATTGCATGCAAGGAATAATTCTCTATTGCTTGCTAATTTTTAAAAAGTAAATAGTTCCTTTGACTATGTCCAGAGCAGCTCTGGGGATTTGTCCATAGGGAGGTGTACTGCCAGCCAAAAGGCTGTGCATCTCTAGTTCAAAACCACCCTCTGCTCCACAGGAGGGAGAGCAGTGGCCTCCTCCGTGAAGATTTACAGCCTCTGACACCCAAGGGAACGTGGCTGTGAGTCAAAATCAACTTGCTGGCAGTGAATTCTGAGTTTGCGTGAAACCATGCACTAAATAAACATTTGCTAACAAAACTCAACTAAAATTAGTACAAAGTGTACTTAACTTTAATGTCACCTTCATTAGCTGTCTTTCCTAAGGTGTTGGGTGATGTCTGATGATAGAATTTCAACAACAGGACAATGGCTGTCCATTTGACTAGAGTAGAACAAAAATAGGACTTGGATTTCTCCCTCTTTCCCCTGCTGCTGGAACTATGGGGCTGGCTCTCAACTTCTGTTCACTTTGGAATGGCTCTGGCCGTGCACGGCTAGAGAAGGCCAGCGGGGCGAGGGCTCTGAAGTGCGGGTACTCACAGATGCAGCACAGGCCTTGTTTGCGCACACCCATCAGCATGATGTGGCAGAAGTTGCAGTAGGTCAGCTTCTTGAAATGCTTCATGGTCCAGGCATGCCTCCCGTCCCCCTTGGAGCTCTGCAGGGGCGATAAGGGTGCAATTCCGACTTGAGGGGAAGAACCTCAAGTCAGAGAACACCAGGAGCCGCTTCTTGCATATTTTGCAATTTTGAAAAGTAAGACGCTCATGTTTGGAAGAAAACATATTCACTATACTGTTTTTAGGAGCCTCTACCCCTTTAAAAGAAACAGATATTAAAACAAAGTTCTCTCTAAAATTAGCAAATCCTAAAAGCTGGGACTAACTAAATGGTAAGACCTACATTTAGGATATAAATGAGAGTAGGGACTGGGAGTGAGAAAAGTACTCCCCTCCTGTGCTGCTGGTGAGGAACCCAGGCTGGTGGCACCCAAGTTAAGGTCTGAGCTGCAAATCAAAATATCAGTCATTTGAACCCACCAACTGCTCAGTGGGAGGGGGAAAATGTGGTTTTCTACTTCTGTAAAGATTTACAGCTTAAGAAACTTTGTCCTGTCTACTCTGTCCTGGAGGGTTGACACAATGACTTTAACAGTGGGCTGGAACATATCAGAGATGGTGACGATGGCGCAGCAGAGGCCAAGATGGTTCAGATCTGTTGTGCATAGGGTTACTATGAGCTGTAGTTCACTTAAGGGTATCTAACTACTACCACATTGTTGTTGAGTTAGAATTAACTGACTTAAAAGATATTTCTCTTGAGGAGTCACCGGTGGATTCAAACACCAGAACTAGTAGGGTTGACACGAGTTAGTGACAGCAGTGTAAATCAGAACAAGCATAAATATAAGTCAGAACAAACTTTAGCAAACCATTTGGAGGCCTTGTCTATCCATGAACCATCATAATCATCATCTATCACCCTAATCGAAAGAGTCTTTAAATATTTATACTCTAACTTACAAATTTCCCTTCTTGGATTCTATTCTGAAGTCAAAATTAGAAAAAGGCACATTAGCATTTTTTTGTGTTCTGTCAGATCTTAAATCCAGAATTTCTTAAAATAACAAAAACCTGAGAATATCTTAAAGGTCTCATTGAACGTTTAACTGTGGTACATTCATATGATTTAATAAATCATAATGAAATTTGTGAAAATATACAATAGTGTGGGAACATGCTTGTGACATGATGGTAAGGGGGAAAAAGGCAAGGATACAGATTTGATGGTGTATTATTATCTCAGTTCAGTATAGTAAGATCTTTGATGGGGAGAAATTTGACTTAACTGTTAACAGAAGTTAGTGTAGCTGGCAGTACAAAGGATATATTCTGATTTTTCTAGTCTCCACTTTCACTGCATTTTCTAAATTTTTCCATTTGATTCTAAAACGTATACTACTTGTTTTAAAATCGAGAGAATCAACTTATCAAACTCACTGTTGCCCAGTCAGAACTTAAGACTCATAGGTGACAGAAACTCCAGCAGGTTTTCAGAGGCTGTCAATCAGACATGAGGAAGTTGTTCATCTTTCCAGCAAGGAGGCTTCTGGTGGATTCGATTCAGCACAGAGCCAGTAAAACTCCTTATGACCTATGCCACCAGAGCCCCCTCAAGAGAACATAGCTTATTCAAACAATGTACTCTCATTAACTTTCCATTCCATTAGCATGAGCACTTTCCCACACCATTCCTTAACTGCTCACAAGTTAAACAGTAGAGAGAGAAAGACAAAGAGAAAGTTAAGTCTTTGCCTCCTGACTTGAGGATGGTTGAAGCAATCACTGTAATTCATTACATTTAAAAAACAAAGATCCTGTCACAAAAGGACAAATACTGCATGGAGCCACTGTTGTAAAACACGACTGACCTCGGGGTTGGGGGGAGACTGAGAAAGATGGGTTCAATAATGTATATTGCATTGAAACAGATGAGGGAGAAAACTGTTTAAAAGGGATATGTGATTAGGTATTTTTGTCATGACAGGAGTCTAGAGCAAAAGCTACATGGTGGAGTGGACCTGGGGGAGGGTTTGTAAAACAATGAAAGAATTTTTCTTTTACTTTTCCAAGAGGGTAGTGTACTAGGGGGGAGGGTTGGGAAGAAAAGTGCAACAATGAATGAATGGAAATCCAAAGTCTCTATAAATTTTTACTGAAATTAATAACAAATTTAAATAAAATAAACACACACACACACACACACAACCCCATAAAACCACCCCAAAGATCCTGTAAATTGATTCAGAAAGGTACTGTGACAAAATCCAACACCCCTTTCTAATTAAAACACTCAGCAAAATAGGAATAGAAGGGAATTTCCTCATCATAGTGACAAGTATATATGCAAAACCAAGAGTCAACACAATTCTCAATGGGAAAAGATTAATGGCATTCCCCTTGCAAATAGGAAGCTGACAAGTCTGTCCACTATTGTAGCTCCAATTCAATATTGTATTGGAAGAACTTGCTATACGGCAACGAAACAAGAGAATTAAATAAGAGGCATACAAATTGGCAAAGAAGTGGTAAAATTGTCACTGTATGCAGGCGATATGATAGCGTACACAGAAAACCCCAAAGACTCAACAAAGACACTGTTAGACCCTGTTGTTTAATGTAGAGTTGGTGCCAACCCTGAGCTGACCCTTGGGCAGGTTTTCAGAGGCAGTTAATCTCATAGGAGGAGATTGTCCATCCTTCTTCTGTAGAGCAACTGATGGCTTCGAACCGCATTAGCCCTAGTAGACCAATTTAGTCTAGTGGCAGGCTAAAAGATGAATATACAAAAATCAGTGGGATTTCTCTACAGCAACAAAGGAAACGTGGACAAAGGAGATGAAGGATGCAATCCTGTTTACAATGGCCAACCACAAGAGGGAATTCTTACGAATTAACCTAACTAGAGACCCAAAAGACTTTCAAAAAGAAAATTAAAAACATGATTACAAGAAACAAGAGATCTAACTAAATGTAAAAATATTCCCTCTTCGTCTGACATACTTTGGACATGTTGTAAGGAGAGACAGGTCTTTAGAGAGGGACATCATGCTTGGGAGGGTGGAGGGACAGCACAGGAGGGGAAGACCCTCTATGAGGTGGATTGATTCAGTGACTGGGATAATCGGGATGGGAGTGTCAGAGACAATGCGATTGGCACAGGACAGAGCAGAGTTTAGGGCTGTTGTACATAGGGTCGCTATGAGTCGCAAGTGACTTGACGGCACATAACAACAACAACAACATGGATAGGAAGATTCAACATAGTGAAAATGACAATCTTACCAAAAGCATTTATATGTTCAATACAATTCCAATATAGATAGAAACTTATTTTTCAAAGAGACAGAAAAGGTAATTGACAAGCTTATTTGAGAGGAAGAAACCCTAAATAAGCAAAGCTCTTCTGAAAAATAAAAAAGAAATGGGAAGTATAGCACTCCCTGATCTCAAAACGTACTACACAGCAGTAGTAAACAAGATAGCATGCTTTTGGTACAATAGCAGACCACACAGACCAATAGAAATGAAGAGAGAACTCAGAAATTAATCCATCTACCTATGGTCAATTGGTATTTGACAAAAATGAGGAAATTATGACTGGGCTGCTATGTGCAGAAAATTGAAATAGGATCGACATCACACACCACATACAAATATCAGCCCACGGTGGATCAGAGACCTAAGGGTAAAGCCCAAAATGATAAAGATCATAAAAGATGGAATGAAGCCAAACTTGGAAGGTGTAGCCCATGGTAAAAATAGGCTTGTAAAAATAGTCAGAAATGCATAACCAGGCGAGGAAAAAATTGACTAAAGTGACTTTAAAAATCAAGCAAAAGGGGGGAGGGGTGTGGGGGGGATGGGCAGGGAGAAAAGTGCAACAATGAATGAATGGAATTCCAAAATCTCTGTAGATGTTCATTGAAATTAAAAAATAAATAAATATTTACTAAAAACAATCAAGTCATGTGTGCATAGAAACATTTTCTGATAGGGTGGAAAGAAGACCTTGTTGTTGTTATGTGACTTGTTATTCTACAACTCATAGCGACCTTCTGTACAACAGCTCTGAACCCTGTCTTATCTCGAGCCAATCTCATTGTCTCTGATACATCTACCCCCATTACCCCAATTACAGTGTCAATTCATCTCATCCAGGGTCTTCTCTCCTGCATTGTCCCTCCACCATTCTAACATGACGTCCCTCTCCAAGGGCTGGTCCTTCCTGGCAACATGCCCAAAGAATGACAGACAGCTTCAAAATCCTTTCTTCCAAGGAACAACTTGGCTTCACCCTCTCCAGAAGATATCTGTTTGTTCTTCTGTTAGTCCATAGTATGTTCAATAACTACAGACTGACAAAAAGCATTTGACAATGACATCTCAAACAGGGACCTCATAATGGAAGTTTATACATGAGGAATTGATGCTTTCAAATTTCAGTATTGGAGAAGACTACTGAGTATATCCCATGGGCTGCCAAAGGAATGAAGAGGTATGGCTTGGAAAATGTGCTGCTGGAGCGCTCCTTGGAGGCAAGGATGGAAAAGCTTCATCTCTCATACTTTGGACATGTCTCTGGGAAAGGCTATTCCTTGGAGAGGGGTATCAAGCTTGGAAGGGTGGAGAATTAGGAAAAGAAGGGAAGGTCCTTATGGAGATGGATTGACACAGCAACTGCAGCAATAGGCGTGAGCATATCAGAGATGGCGAGGATGGCACAGGACAAGACAGGGCTCTGATCTGTTGTTCATAAGCTGCTGTGAATTGTACTCAACTTGACGGCACCTAGAAGCAGCAACAACAATGCCTTCACCTTGATACCAGATGACCAGTGATCATACCTTTCTCCCTCGGAGCGGCTGGTGGGTTTGAACTTCTGACCTTTTAGTTAGGCAGATAAGTGCTTTAAGTACTGTGTCTTCATGCTTGCTTTTGGCTGAATATTAATGCCAGTAGAAACCACTGCCCTTTAGTGAGGTGGTGGGCGTTGGCAGTTGTGTACAAAGAATCTAAGGTGCTAAAACTTCAAATCCAGGTCTGTCTTCTAGTCACTACCCCAGATCTATCTATTCCTGTGCCCAGACTCTTTGACTAATGGTCTCTAGAGGGGTTTATTTTGCCCACCTCCATGCTATTCTCACCTTCATTGCTTTGTTTGAACCCACTATGACAGCTACTGAGTCAATTCATTTCACTGAGATTCTTGTTCTTTTTCATTGACCCTCGACTTTTCTGGGCATGATATCCTTCCCCAGGGACAGCTTCCTCTTTCCTAATAACATATCCAAACTAAGGGAGACGAAATCTTGCCAACCCTGCTTCCAAGGTGCGCGTCTGGATGTCCTTTTCCCATGACAGCGGTGTTCATCCTACTTGAAGTACATGGTATATAGTCAACATTGTCTGCCAACACCACAATTCAAAGACGACAGTTCTTTTGTCTTCCTTATATATTGTTGGACTTTAGCATGCACACGAGATGATTAAAGATATTCTTCATTTTTATTTTATTTTTTTGTGTGTGTACCGTCAAATTGGATCTGACAGGTACAGGAGAAGATTGCCCCTCCTTCTCCAGCAGAGCATCTGGTGGATTTGAACCACATGCCTCTGGGATTGCAGTGCAGCTTCTTGCCAGTAGGCCACCAGAGCTCCCTGATATTCTTCATTTAATAACTGGCTTTATTAGGTAATTAAAGGATGCATCAAAAAGACCAATTCATGCTGCAAACAGCTATCTCAAGAGGCTTTAGCAAGAGTTAAAGGAAATAATGTTAAATAATAGAGCTCTGGTGGCTGAGTGGCAAGAAACTGCATTGTAATCCCAAAGGCATGCAGTTCAAAGCCACCAGATGCTCCACGGGAGAAGGAGGGGCAATCTACTACCGTGTGATTAACTGCCTCTGAAAACCTGTGGGAGTTGGTTTTGACTCTACAGTACACAACAACAACAATGTTAAATAAAGCTCCCAATCCAGTGCCTGAGATATTACAAACTTTATTAAGCTCCTACTTGGTACCAGGTATTAGGAACACAAAAGTAACTAAATAATTTTTTTTCTTCTGTGTAAGAAATTGGATTTTTCTTATATCCTAGAGATGAGGAAATCAGGACTCAGGTATGAAGTTGTTGTGTTGCTATGGGCCGTCGAATAAATTATGACTCAAAGCAACCCTATGAATAATAGATCTGAACCTTGCCCTCTCCTGAGCCAGCCTCACCATCTCTGACACACCTGTCCCACTGCCACAGTCACTGTGTCAATCACCCTTGTCCAAGGTCTTCATCTTCTGCGCTGACCCTTCACCCTTCCAAGTATGATGTCCTTCTTCAAGCACTCATTCCTCTTGGAAACATGCCCAAAGTATGTGAGAAGGAGTTTCAAAATTCTTGTCTCTAAGTAACAACCGGGTTTCACCCTCTCCAGGACAGACCTGTTTGTTCTCTTGGCAGTCCATGGTATGTTCAATACTTTTCTCTAGAACCACGACTCAAAGACACTGATTCTTTTTCTGTCATCCTTACTGTCCAGCTCTCAGATGCATAGCAAGCAACTGCGAATACCAAGCGCACCTTAGTCTCTAGACAGACATTGTTGCTCATCAGATTTGGCTCAAGTAACTCTTCTTTTGAATTCCTCATTACTAGTGCCAAGAATGTTGATTGTGGATCCAAGTAAGATGAAGTTGTTAACAAACTCAATCTTTTCTCAATCTATGACAGTGCTGTCAATTAGCCTGGTGGTGAGAATCTTTGTTTTCTTTAGTTTGTAAGCAGTTATATCAACAGCACATAGTTGTTCCATGCTTATCTCAGAGTTCACACCTTTCTCATCCCAATCCCCTATTTCAAACCCGGATCTTCCTTTAAGGAGTACCTTGGACTGAAGGGAAATGAAAATATTCTTTTTAGACTTAGCTTTTTCACAGCCCAATGGACTGACATTTTATATGCTTAACTAAGGGAACTGGTACCATACTCCATAGGGAGTAAACCACAGTTGTTCTGTGGAAGAGCAAGGGCAGTCTCCTCCATTGTGATTTACAGCCTCAGAAACCTGACAGGGAATGGCTATAAGTCTGAATTGATTTGATTCTATTTAGCTGGAGTTTTGAAGGTGATCAGTTAGCTGACTTCTCTTTTTTCAGCTACTGTTGTAACAGAGAATTAGAAGTGCGTGGATCTTGGAATAAAGTGACATTTCTGGCTGGGTTATAGCACCATCATGTGGCTCTTTCATATATGCACATTGGAGTCTGTAGAACTTGGAAGTCAGATCATCCCTCATGTGTGCTCGGTTTTATGTCAATTTTACCCAGAGACAGACTGTTTCCTGCAAATGCCATTCAGAGATCCCCAGACTTTTAGTGGCTGAAGATAGATTTGGAAAATAAAGTCAAACAGCAAGGACTCTTAAGCCACTGAACACTCCTTGTTCGGGAATACCATGCAGACTCATCTTTTAACATCCCAGACTCATGTTTTAACAGACAGCTAGCTTCTCTGGGGCCCCACACTCTGACAGAAATAAAAAGAAACATTCAAATTGGTAATTTAGCACAGACTTTAAAAAATAAGCTCAAAACTTTTGATAAATGAAAATTAAATATGCATTTGATTTTTGTTGGCAACTTTCTTGTCACTGACCTCTGACGGCTTGTAGGGGGCAGAGTCATCAAAACATTGAATAAATAGCCTCACTCATCTATCTCCAGCCAAAGACCAAGATTTCCCTCCTTAGAAACAGTTGGTGACAGTCTGCATTTTAGCAGAGAAAGCAGAAACTGGGTCCTTGTGATGAAAACGTTCCCTTTCTACTGCGTGCGTCAGAGAGAGGGCAGGCGCGCTGAAATGATACTCGTGCAGAACTTCCATCTTTGATTCAAGTATAATCTTGAGTGAGCACTGTTAGCAGAAATTATATCTTATTTCTCTTTTTTTCTCAGATCATAGTCTCTGGGTAGACGTAGTAACTTTTTGGTAAGGGATCACTGAATGAGGGGTCTGGTATTTCTGAATTACAGCAGTGCATGGCCTCTGCTACTGATTACATGTGTGACCTCTGGCTCTCTGACCCTCGGGGCCTCAGCTCGTAAAACAGAAGTGATGGTTCAGAGGATCACAGGGGTCTTTTTCAGTTCTGGCTTTCTATGACTCCTAACGACCCTAAGAACAGCAGATCCACAACTCGCCCTATCCTGCGCCAGCCTTAGTCCCAACACCCACCAAGCTCAGTGCCATGGTCAGCGTTCCACGGAGCTAAGTACCAAGAAGGGAGTTGTATAGGCTCCTTGATTTCCACTCAACACTTAGAAGGAACTGGATACATGAGGACGTGAAAGAATTCTCCGTTTCTGAATTCTGGAAATGAAGGGCTCACTTTAGTCCTGAAACTTAGACCTGTCAGATGGTGGGACGTGGGTAATAGCAGTCGGGTAGGGGCCAGCCCAACCTAGCCGACTGACTTTCCTGTTCTGTTCCTGTCTGTAGCGTTTTAGCAATTTCAGAGAAGTGCTGTTGTGCAACCGGTGAGACATCACATCACCATCTGGACTTTTAATGTTAAACTTTCTACCTCATGCTTGGAAGTTCATTCATTTAACGTTAAGTATTAGAATGAAGTGTCTGGCTATGTCAGATGGTAGGTGTGTGTAGCACACATTAAACTCTGCAATATCCCCTTTCTGGCCCAAAGGAGAGAATTTTCTTTCTTTGGAGACTTAGATCAAGCCATGAATAATTTCTTCTCCCAGTCAAATCATCCTTGAGATCCGCATCACACATCCTCCCAGCCCACCTCCATCTAATCTTTAATATTATGTAAGAAATATCTAAATCCTGTGCATTCCTCAAGGACAGGCCTATACTCGTTAAGGCTCCTTTCTCAGGAACATTGGAGTGTTCGAAGTTGTAGGTCTTTAGAGTCAGGTACAAATCCTGGTTCCTCCTTTTGCTCCTTAGGTTCAGATCTTGTTTTCTTTTTGTATAAATAGGGGAGAAAAAAATTACCTCCATATCTAGTTTTTTTGATGGTCAAATGAGATACTGTTCATGAAATGTTCCATGAAAGACCAGATTTCCTTTTATCTTTCTTTCCACCTTTCTTCCCTAACTCTCTTAGCATTTTAAAACCTAATTTGATGCCTTTTCCAAGGACTGGACTCTCTTGACAATATGCTTAAAGTACGTAAGATAAAATTTCACCATCCTTGGTTACACTTCCCCCAAGACAGATTTGTGAAATCTGTGGTGGAAGTCCAATTTGTGAAGAGATTGACTTCTAGTCTGATGTTCCTGCAAGGCAAGAGATCTTTGGGCTCAAGCTTGCTGACTTACGGAGTCGTCCATCCCCAGGAGAACCAGCAATGGAATGGTCGTCATCCCTCCGTGGACCCATTCCTTCAGAGACACAAAGCCATCCTGGTCATAGTCCATCCCTTGTAACATCTCTTTCAAGATCTGTGGGATCCAAAGAGCAATAGTTGTTTGTTTCCATCTTTGACGTTTTTGCCCTACTCCCTGCCCTCTACTTTCTCTTCATCCTGCATTAGATGTTTTATGTTTTGCTCTTTTCTTGTCTTATTCTGTGTGAATAGGAACAACAAAGAACAATGAGGAAGCAGTGAAATTAGGAAACTAAAATTCTGGGCCTGATACCCAGCCTGACTGCATAATTTAGTGCAAGGCACCCTAATCTGTTGAGTTTGTTTCTTTCATCTTAAAAATGGGAATACTACTGCTATGTCTGCAGCATTACAGCAAGGATTAGAGAAAGTGTGTCTATAGTTTCTAGTACAATACACAACACACCAATCAATCAGTTAGTTGTTGGAACCAGTTGGAATCAGTGAATGGAGTTGGAACCAACTCGTAACTGACCTCCCCAAGATTTACAGAGTCTCTAAATCACATGGAGGAGTTGATTCATCTTTCTCCTGAGAAGCTTCAGCTGACGAATTCAAACCTTCCGCTTTTAGACTGGCAGCACAATTCTGTACTCACTAGGCCACCAAAGCTCCGTGCTTGACACATTGGAGCATTTAATATGCATTATTACTAATAAGGAGTTGCACAGACAACTCAAAGGCAGTTTGACTCCACCAGCTGCTCTGAGACAGATGAGCAATCTCCTCTGGAAACTTGCTGGAGGGTCAGCTATGAGCCAGTTCTAACTCCCCAGCAGTGGGGTTTGAGTGTTTTTAGTATTACCTTGTGATTGAGAACAAGATCTAAAGCTATCTCTTTCTTCAATATGCTTGACCTATAAATTCCTGGTTTGAAAATTTGGCTCTAGGGGGGAAAAAAAGGTTAAGGGGCTTATTAGTTCAATTCTTGCTACACTAGTTCTTCCTGTCCAAGAAGTGGGAGAGTAAGATACAGAACCCCAGAGAAATTGCCTCTCAGAATATGAATCTAGAAGAGCCTGCACAGTACACACTGGCACCCAAGTCTAGATGTCCCAATCTCAACCTGGAAGCTTACTTAGAAACCGTCTTATGCTTATGGCAACTCACAGGTCTTAGTTCCGTGGGATCCCACTGCAGGTACTGCGCAATATGCAGCATTTGGTTGACAATGCGATCCAACTCCTAGAAAACGGGGAGAAATCAACTGAAGGTCTGTGTTAAAGAGCAAGACTCAAAACCAAACCCAGTAGGAAGACAAGTGAAGGTGAGAAGCAACTACTGCTCTATAATGTCATTTCACTAGGAGTTTACTATGTGCTCCCATTCCCTTTGTTTCTGCCTTGACGACAAAGCTCGGTGGACAGAGATGCTCACAAGCAGCACATCTATGGGAGGGTCACTCAACATTGACTTCCTTGCCCTTATTTGGTTCTTTAAGGCTGAGAACATAAGAAAGAGCACTCCTGGTTTCTCCATCACTGTATTTGTCCTCTAAATACTTAAAAACCAAGGCAGGCCTCTGCTGTCTTTGGTTTTTATCAGCATTGGAAAATCAGTGAAACATACCTTGGCTCAGAAGAGATTTAGTGTCAAAATTAGCACCTCTCAGGATATCATCTAAGATATTTACGGTAAGACTGCTTTGGTAACACAATGGCGGGCTGAAAATAGGCTCAAACCAGCTTACTCTACTAGGTTGAGAGCTGGGTCAAAGTAAACAAGGTAAAACCCAACAAAGATTCAAACATATTATTTCATTTCAATGAAAAACCTGTTGCAAAATTGAAGGATGTAACATAGATGGTGATAAGGTCATGAGAAGGCAGTAGGGATGGGGCTAGGAAATTAGCAGAAGTTTCAATGAAAATTTAAAAAGGCTGATGAACTTCACTGGAGCTAAATCTCAATGAGAAAGCAATGTGATTCAAGAGCCAAGGATTAGACTCCATCAGGCCTGTGTAAACAGAGGCAGAGTGGGCACATTTTAGGACAAACAGTTCCCCTCGTGTCTATCCATCTCAAGTCATATTTGGATATTTTAAGAGCTATGGAGTGGTGGGTTCAGTTCCATGCCTTATTTTAAGGGCATCTACAAAGTGGAGGTTGACCAGAGTGCGTATTTAAGCCACCCCTTATGAGGAATAATGTAGTAATTGTGCTATTTTATCATGAAGAAGATTTTAGGGGCCATGTGATAGCACCTTCAAATATTTGATGGCCTATTATATAGAAATGGTATCCAATGACTTCATTTGGGGAAGAATTTTTAGCCAGTTCATTCCAGTTCAACTTCTCTGCTAATTGGCATTTCTATCCCAGATATAGAATCAGAATCTAGATTTTTAACAAGATCTCCAGGTGATCTATAAGAATTAAACAATTCTCTGTGAATTCCCTGGCACATCCTGGCCTGCTGCACAGCAATGGGGCTGCAGGATTTCCATAGAGGCATGCTGCCCTTTAGAAGGCCTTGTGATGGTGTCTTCTCTTCCTTCTGTCGGACTCAACTTATTCACCTCAAGTTTAAGCCTTCTCGCTGAGAAGCCCCATTTTTAACACTACCAGTCATGAAGCAGGACTTCCCTGATCCTATTCATTTTCCTCTTTACTTTCTTCATTGTTCCCTCCCATTACATGATCCTAACCTATCTCTGCCTATTCCTGAGGAACGGTAGTATCTAAGGATCTTCCAGGGCCAATGAGATGGGATCATATGTTGAGAGCAGGACTAGACTCTCAGAGCTGGTGTCCTGAGGGAGGGGAAGGAATGAAGGGTGGCGGCAAAGTACACCATCAGCAACCTCCTTTCTCTTACCCTGGTCTTGCCACTTCCCATATTCCCTCCTCTTTATTTTTAAGCTTCAGCAGAAAATTGCAGAGGGAAGTTCTGAGCAGATTGGGAAGGTAAACTAGGTGAAATGCTAAAACATTCTGGCTCTTTACAATCCCAATTTTATGGAATGAAAAGACAAGTTAGAGTTGACTATCTTCAAGGCTGGCTCTTTGGAAGCAGAATGTGGGGAATATATTCAGATCTCTGTAACCCTAATTGGGACACTTCTATTCCTATAAAGACGGAGCTGAGCGTTTCCAGATTCTTCTGCCACCTGCTCCCTCCTCCCCAGACACTTCTCAGATCCTGGAGGGATATTTGGAGAGAAAACTTACCGCTTGGTCCAGGAGACCGTTCTCATCTGAATCATAGAGATGAAACATAACTGCAAAAAATATAAAGGAAATTAGAGGCTTGTGGTGTTCTTAAGGAGACAGGCGACGATGGGCTGAAGTTTTGACGTTGCCAAGCACTTGGATCAGTTCTGGCCACCAGCTCACCCTCTAAGGTGCAGAGTCTGACTTCCGTACAGAACGGATGGGAAGGAGGAGGCAAAACAAGCCATCTGGCTCCCCAGGTCTAAGCAGTGACTCAGTGGCTAATGCGACCACAGTGATGAGTGTGTGCCTCAGTAGAGCATGCTCACCTCTCAGTGTCACTGGGCCTACACTCAAAGCAGATGCCAAATGGCGGGAGGCAGGGGCACTAGAAACATAGATGGGTCATCGCCTCTACTGAACTTGGAAAGAGAGGAGGCTGGGAAGTTAGGCAGACCTCGATTCAAAGGCTGGCCCTACCTCCTACCACCCCTGGTGTGTCAATAACTTTCTTTAGACTCAGGTTCCTTATCTATAAAAGAGAAATTATAATAGTTTCTTTCTCTTAAGGTTGCTATGACGATTAATGTCTAAATGATATGTCTGCAGTGACTGACATGTGGAAAGCTCTGGACATGTAACAAATAGCATTTAATATGCATCAGGTACTTTTTAAAGCACTTTATTGTAGGTTTAATCCCCAATGATGCTATTTGGTTAATTACTATCATAGGAGCTTTCATATAATGAAATGTCAACATGTTACTCAGAAACTTGCTTTGTCATGTTCTAGATGCAGGAAGGTGATGTAAGATAAGAAAGATCTGAGAGATAAATTCAGGTAAAGGATTAAACGTTCACTTAAGGGACCTGAGAGTCTACATTTTATTCATCTAAGAGGTGGGATCAGCAGTGAGTAGGGAGGGGAGCAGAGCTAACCACGTCTTTGCTTTCCTCCTATCATTTAAAGTTTTCCATCAGGACTGTTCTCCCTGTGGAGACGCTCACAGATCCTCCCTGACACAGCCATGGTGGTTTTCATAGCACACGTAACCACACCATTCTGGCTAAACTGCCTCTGGGTTAATGCTTCTGTACTTTGCATTTGTTCAGAGGTGTATAAGTTGGTTGCGTATAAGTTCTTTAAAAGGAGGGTTATGGTCATTTGATTCTTTGTGACTCCATAGAATACCTAGGACAGAGGCCCCCACTGAAGAGATGATGGCTGAGTGAAGGACAGGCCTTCCCTGCTAACATTGCTCCACGAATTTGGGTTAGATGACTCTTTAACACTGGGTTCTCTTTGGTCCAGGGAGGCACCCTGCCTTTTGGAAGGACTTGGATGGGCTAGCTTGTTGACTGACTCCTCCTTTCTTTGTATGAGGAACAGAACTTGAAAAGCATGGATTAGCATCATACATTTTAGGGGCAAGACCTTAGGTAAATCATTTGACTTTATGAGTTTATGTTTCTTTCTATACAAAATGAGAATAATCAGATAACCCATCTAGAAATGTTGGGAAGTTAAAATGAGATAATGCAGGTAAACTGCTCAGCACATACGAGATCTTCATTGATAAGAGTAATTATTGTTATCGTATTGGTAACAGGTGGAGTTTTAGAATATTTCTGACAAAAAGGGCTATATTTTGATATTAAAGAGAAAATCCTAGTTTCTTCCCTCAATTATAAAAAAAATCAAAGGAAGATTTGAATTGATTTTGTTAAATTAAAAACAAACCAAAATAAAACTTTTACAGGTTATATTAAAAGTTTTTATAAGAAGAAACTGGAAGGAAAAAAAGTTAAGTAAAAAATGGGAGGATAACCAATAGATTAAGAGACTGAAGAGAAATAATAACCTCACATGTGTGCACCTTACATGTGTCTGAATGCAAATAATTAAAAATTATAAAATAAATGAAAAAATAATAAAAAACACAAGATAATTGAGAAAACAGACTAATGTAATATTTGATATTAGTAAAAACCGACTTTTTAGACATAGTAATAATGACGTGGTTATACTTAAGACAAAATCTACATTTAACAGTTACAGATATACACTAAAATATTTACAAGTAAATTATAAAGAATTTGGATTTTGCTTCCAAATAATCTGGGAAAGAAGACATGGGTGCAACGTATAAATAGAACATGATCAACCCAAAGTTGTTCACTGGCAAAGCTGGATGATGGTACTTGGAAATTCATTATACTCTCTATTTTTACCTATGATTGACATTTTCTATAGAAAGGGGTTTTTTTGGGGGGGGGAGAGTTAAGATAGTTCCTTTTTATTGCATTTACAACTGAGTCTGAGAATCACTGATAGAAAAGATTTGTCACATTGTCCCCGGTAGTTACTAACAAATATAGTACTTAAATTCTGACTAAATGTTGGAAACAATTTGTGTTTCCAAGTTTAACACAAGCCAGAAGAAATAGAAATTTATTACATTTCTGCCAAATTAGCAGGAAAGTCTTACACTTGTTAACACGTCAAATCTATGGGTGAAACCTTATGCTATGCGATTGAACAAATGGTTTCACTTTCTTTTTGGCAGGAGCTAACCTTTCCCAGGCTTTCCTTGCTAATGTTTATGATTTGTGGACTAGTCCTACTATTTACGGGAACTTTGCCTTCATCATAATGTCTATGTTCTTCTCATTAACATCTAGTATGTTCCTAAGAGAAGAAAAGACAGTACATCTTCTTTTAAATGGCCCTGTCCTCTCCTGTTTTAAAGCCTGCTGTAGGCTGACAGAGGCCAGCTACCCCATGCCTGGAGGGAGTCACTACAAGATCATCATCTGCTTCAGTTGCCCTGGTGGACCTTCCGTTTGGTCACCCGCTCTTTTTCTTCCTCTGAAGAGAGGTTGTTAACTTTAGGGTTAGCAGAGCCATGAAAGCACGCTTGCCTCCCTTAATGAAGTAGCTACTCCTCTCTCTCTCTAGAGGCAAAGATCTTGGGTTGGGAAGAGTGTGAGGAGGCAAGAATAAATAACAAGACAGAGGTTAATTAGACATCAAGAAAAACAAATTCCTCAGAGTTTAAGAGTTGCCTGGCTATGGTTTAGGAAAAGAAAACAGATGGCAAATATTTCTCTTTGGAAAATCTACTGAGATGAAGCAGCAAGTGTCTTATTTGAGACTTTTAGGAAGTTATGGCAACAAAATAAGGGAGTCTTGGACCCGGACAGAGATCCAAGGGATTCTCATTACCAAGCTCTCAGATGCTCTGACCATTTTATACGCACAGCAGGTCCTGTGTCCCAAGGTGGATTATGGGAAATACTTTTCAGATTACTGCTCATGACCAAACTGATAACTCCCCCACCCACCGCCCGTCAAGGGACACACACATTGCCAGGTCAGTCTGCAGCAAATTCAGGAATTGTTGACATGACCCCTGACCTTCCTAAAGAAAATGCTGACATCCTTTGACAGTGCAAGCACTTACATTCGAGCTTATCCTGGGGCCTCCCAGTCTCCAGTAGGGACAGGTAACACACCACATCCTTCAGATACACTGTGGGGGACTCAGACCCCGGGGACTGAGCAGCAGGGGCTCCTGGTGGGGTTGTGGCCACTTGGTCTTCAGCTGGCACTTGCTTCTCAGTGACCTTTGATTCTGTGGTAGACAAAAGGACAGCGTCCAAGAAACTGATGGAGTAGACATTAAGCCTCCTCTGCTGTCCTACCCTCTTCATGGCTGAGTTAGGGATGTGGGGCAGGTATTCTCAATGGCTTTGGTTCCTAGCTGCTGTTGTTAGGCGGGGCCAGGATGACTATGGTTCATAGTGACCCTGTGTATTACAGAGCCAGATCGTGCCCTGTGCTGGGTCAGCCTCACAATCTCTGCCAGGTTTAAGCCCATCACTGCAGTCACTGTGGCAGTCCATATTAGGGAGAGTCACCCTTTCTTTTGCAGACCTCCTCCTTTTCCAAGCATGATGCTGTTTCCCAAGAGTCAGCACCTCTCAACAACATGCCCAAAGTGTGTGAGATGCAGTTTCACCATCCTTTCCTCTAAGGATAATCAATATAGGATTTTCAAATTTAGTTTGTAGAATTCATATTCTTGTAACAGACCCAGAGATGACCTTTTTAAGAGTCTATAATCAATAGTGAAATGTCATCTGGTCTACTTTGAAGTCTGTTTTTTAAGTCAACTTGTCTAAGTAATTTTGGCTATGATTTCATAATCATTGAAGTATTATTCTTTTTTAAATTCTTTGTGTGTGTACTGTCACGTCAGATCTGACTGGTACAGGAGGAGATGGTCCTTCCTTCTCCAGCAGAGCATCTGGTGGATTTGAACCATGCGCCTCTGGGGTTGCAGTGCAGCTTCCTGCCAGTAGGCCGCCAGAACTCCCTTGAAATACTAATTTTATGCAGATGCACATTACCCATGAGCCAATAGTTCATGATGCACATTCTCACAACTTCTCTTACACATTTAAAGACAAATAAAAGGAGGAACTTTTGAAACACAAAATAGGCATGGACCCATTTTCAGGAAGCAGGGAAAATTTTGACTAATTGTAAGCCTGATTAGACTTTAAACAAGAAAAAGATCTAATTTGGTTTATCATGCCCCAGGAATAACATTTTCCCTCTGAAGCCTTTTGTCCAGTGGGTGGGAAAACTCTCTACCATTTCTGCATTGTTTGCCATCTTGTTCAAAAATAAGGCTGATCAAGCCAGAAAACCTTACCATGCTGTGGAGCTGATTAGGACCCAGGGGGACCCATGTGTGCAGCAGAGAACAGTGCTTCATAAGACTTGTAAGGCAGTGGCCTTTTAAAAATATCTCAGTCAAAAAAGGACAAATACTGCATGGTGCCACTGTTGTAGAATGAGGCTGACATCAGAGTTGGGTAAAACTGAGAAAAACTGGATAAACTATGTATACTGCATTGGAGCCAATGAGGGAGAGAACAGTTTAAAAGTTATATATTTTAGGGCATTATGATTATCATAAGAGTTCGAAATGAGGGTTGCAGAGTGAAGTATATGCGGGGTGGGGGGCGCGGGGGGATTGTATATCAATGAAGGAGTTTTTCTTTTGCTTTTCAAGGAGAAGAGTGAACTGGGAAGTGGGAGGGGGCGCTGGGCGGGGAGAAAAGTGCAACAATGAATGAATGGAAATCCAAAATCTCTGTAAATGTCCACTGAAATTAATAATAATAAAAAAAGGAAAAAAGTCTAGGCATTTCCCCCAAGTGATGCTGGGTAATCTCTAACAGGCAACCTTTCATTTAGAAGTCGAGGGGTAAGGATTTATTAAGAGATTCTGGTAAGGTCTGCAAAAATGAGCTGATGAAGAAGAGGATGGCACAGGATAGGAGAAGGTCAGGTCTGTTGTTCATAGGATTGCGATGTGTTGTACTCAAATTGACAGCATCGAATGGCAACAACAACAGCAACTAGAAAATGGGAAAATAGCATGTTCCTGCATGAATATTACTTTTTTGGAGGCACTTTTAGTGCTCTTTTCCCTCAGCCTTTTCTCCTTACATTTATCAGAAATAATCTCTTAATATCCCCTAGGTGTGGGGACACCCACAGAAAAGAGCTAGGCAAGGAGTGAAAAGAAGACTGTCAGTAGGAATCTAACGGAGGTGATGTAATTGAATGCAGGAGACACGCAGAAATCAAGACAGCCCTGAGCATAGTGCTGGCTGGGCAAGGTCATGCCACTAGTACAATCTCTATTCAGGATATCAAAGAATCAAGGAAATAAGCATTCTACCTCAAGGCAGAAGAGTAATGCTCTGTGAAAGTTTGACAGCTCCTGGGTTTAGACTTTGTGGCTGAGAAAGGAGTTAGAGGTTAGCAGTGGGACTGACCACACACTACTGACATATTTTGCAAATTAGAAAAGGTTCATGAAAAGGCCAAGTCTGAGGCCATGTGTAAAAAAGCAAGGGAGGCTTGTTGTTGTTGTTGTTGTTGTTGTTATGTGTTGTCGAGTCACTTGCAACTCATAACGACCCTATGTACAACAGCCCTAAACCCTGCTCTATCCTGTGCCAATTGCACTGCCTCTGACACACCCACCCCGATTACCCCAGTCACCGAATCAATCCACCTCATAGAGGCTCTTCCCCTCCTGTACTGTCCCTCCACCCTCCCAAGCATGATGTCCCTCTCCAAGGACCGGTCCCTCCTCATGACATGTCCAAACTATGTCAGACAAAACCTCAGAATCCTTGCCTCCAAGAAGCAGCCCTGTTTAACCCTCTCTAGGTTGAATCTGTTTGTTTTCTTAGCAGTTCATGGTACATTCAATACTCTTCTCCAGCACCACAACTCAAAGGCATCAATTCTTCTGTCCTCCCTAGTCATTGTCCAGCTCTCTGATGCATAACAAGTGATTGCAAAGACTATGGCCTGTATCAGACGCACCTTAGTCTCCAGAGAGACACCATCACTCTTCAGTACTTTGGAGAGGTCCCTAACAGCAGACTTTCCCATGGCAATATGTCTTTAAGTTTCCTGCCTGCTTTTGCGTGTTGACTGTGGAGCCAAGCAGAATAAAGTTGTTAACAATCTCCATCTCTTCCCCATCCATCCTGATGCTGCCAATTGGTCCAATGGTGAGAATCTTTGTCTTCTTGACATTGAGCCTCAATCCATATTGAAAGCTGCATTCCTTGACCTTCTGCAGCAAACACTTTAAGTCCTCCTCAGTTTCACCAAGCAGGGTTGTGTCATCTGCATAATGCAGATTGTTGATAGGTCCTCCACCAACCTGACGCCACACTTCTCCTCATAGAACTCAGCCTGCTGGATACTCTGTTATGCATACAGGTTGAAAAGGTATGGAGATAGGACACATCCCTGGTGTACACCCTTCCCAATTTTGAACCATGCAGTGTCTCCTTGCTCTGTTCTGACAACCGCCTCTTGGTCCAAGTATAGGTTTCGCATTAGCACGATCAAGTGTTCTGGTATTCCCATTCTTCTCAGAGTCAGCCACAGTTTGTTATGATCCACACAGTCAAATGCCTTTGCATAATCAATGAAACACAGATAGACATTCTTCAGGGAGGCTTGAGGACAGCCATATCTGACCCCTATTAACTTGACAAGAGGAAACTGCCCCCATCTACAACATCCACAGCACAAAACCAATTCACATGAGCTCAGACATGTCCCCTGCACTTACCTATCTGTTTTTCTTAATTCCAACACCAAACTTACTGCCAACCAGGTTTGAAATCCACTGCAATAGCTATGCATACCACTCAGAACCGTGTGCATAGTTACAGGGTTTATTAGAGACGCTAACAGGTAACAATGCAGGTTGGCAGCAGGATACAATCCCTCAGTCCAGACAGCTTCTCAAATGTAGACGCAGCTCTGTGACCTTCATCCTCACAGCTCACGACAGTGTTCCTAAGTTTCCTTAGTCCTGCTTGTCATGGTGTCTGCCCTAGGTCCTCCAGCAAGTGTGGGTGACTGCCTCTGATGCTGGCTCTGTGGGGCAGCAGCCCCAAACAAGCTCTCTCAGGTCAGCTTCTGGCTCTCTGCTGAGGCTACTGCTAGTCTTGAGCAGATTCCGATCTGGCTGGTGCAGGAATCTCTGGCTCCAAGGATGTGTGCTGCTTCCTCTTCATTGTTGGTTTTAGGATTCCCAAATTTCTGCTGCTGAATCCACTCAATTGAATGACAAGACTACCCAATCCCCTGTGGATAGGCTACCACGTTTTATTTACATGATCCAGCCCATCCACTTGACAAAGTCAGACTCAGACCCACTATGTGGAACTGAGAGACAGGACTGTATCTACCGGGTTGAAACATCTCAATTGGCATTCCAACAATTTCTGAAACCTAATTTATTTTTGCCAATGCCATTAGTGATGCCTGGATTTCTTCCTTTAGTATAATTGATTCTTGATCATGTTGTTGTTCCTGAAACAGTTCAATGTCTACAAATTATTCTTTTTGGTACAATAACTCTGTATTCCTTCCATCTCCATTTGATGCTTCCTGCATCATTCAGCATTTTCCCCACAAAATACTTCAGTATTGCAACTCAAGGCTTAAATTTGTTTTTCATTTGTTTTAGCTTGAGAAATATTCTTGAGAATGTTTTCTAATTCCAGGCATTTGCCCATGTCATTAATATACTTTGCTTTATCTTCTTAAGCTGCACTTTGAAATCTCTTCAGCTCAGCATTTCTTCCTTTTGCTCCTCTGTGTGTGAGAGAAGATTTCAGATGTCTCCTTTGGCATTCAGTTTGGTTTTTTAATTTCCTTCCTTTTTAATGACTTTTTTGCTTATTTCATGCATAATGTCCTCCCACAGCACGTCTGGTCTTTGACCACTAGTACTTGATCATAAAATCTATCCTATAATAGTTTCTAAGTTTAGGTGGGACATAGTCAAGATCTTATTTTTGTTATGGTGGATTCATTTCATTTTCTTTCATTTCAGTTTGAACTTGCATATAAACAATTGTTACTCTGTTTCACTGCTGTCCCCTGGCCTTTTTCTGAATTTCATATTGAGTTTTTCTACCATCTCTTTGCACAGATGTAGTTCAGTTGATTCTTTTGTATCAAACCCAATGTTTTTGTTGTTATGGACTGTGGAATGACAGCCCACTCATAGTGCAC